ATATGTACCCAGTCACAATAAATAATATATAAAGAACCGATAGGCTACTTTTACACCTATGTACAATCCTTTCGCTCAGGATATCAAACGTAATCACGTGCAGAGTTCATCAATCCCCAGTAGTTCTTCACTGTCCAGTAGTGTATCCAACCTTACTGGGAAGAACACCGGCGAGTTCACCTAGGACAGTCCACTGACAGTGTCATGAGGTGCATATAACCCAACGACCGCTCTCCAACTACTCGCTGACAGAGTACCTTAGCCACACGCTGAGCGAGGTCACAATACAAGAGTCGCGATCCCCTGGCAGAAACAGGCACCTCCCTGTCGTCAGTCTCTCCCCTAAGCCAGTCCCAAAGGTACGCCAATCTTTTCAGCACTAAAGCACTAGCAGCTACCACACTACTTCATCGGCGGCGGCTTACTTGGTCGTGTCCTGGACCATGTAGGGAGACTGTGGACTACCCAAGATGAACTGCTATCTCCAGTACCGCTGCCCCCAGACGTCACCTCTGTGGACACAAAAACGTCATCAATGACCTAGCCGATACTGGTGAACTAGGAAATACCAGTAACCCACTGGGGAGCTGACATTGTGCTCTGTAGCACACACTAGGTGGCGCTGGTCTTGATGTGTCATCTCACGAGAGATCACTCACAACGACCCCTCTGACTTACCAAGGCAGGAATCTTTAGCTATTGGCAAGTACTAGATAACCACCACCAGATGGCATTGTCCACATTACGCACTATTCCCGGGGAGTTCGGGTCAGGACTCTTAGAAGGCGCTGGAACTGCCATTCTACCCCCTGAGAAGGGCGGCGAGTCCAATCTAACAGAGACATCGTAAGTTAAAAGAAAATTAAAACCACTGAAAACACCTACTGGTAAGCACTATTGACATATACCAGTATTTAGTACAGTAATCTATAGGAATTACACTCCCGGACCTGGCCCCCCAAAATATTATTACCACACCTATGTAACCTGGATTGACCCTGCCACAGGAATACTTATAACTCCGGCTTATTACATTTACGACCCTCAAGGGGTTGATCCCATTATCCCTGTGATAAGAATATGCATTGGCACTAGTAGGCATTTAAGGGAGGGACACAAACACATTTAAAAAGAGTATAATTATAATATTAAGGTTTATAATTATAATATTAAGGTTTATAATTATACACATTAATTTTCATTTGATAACTACTTGAATCTACTAAGTATGATGTAGAATCTGGCTAGTTATTAACTCTTGTTTTCACAGATGAACCTCAACTACATACAGAACAAAAATTACACTGAACTTAGCAGGCATCTCTCCACCAGACCACACCACGAGCTTCTGAAGATGGCTGGCTTGGCTTCCCAAGATAATGCTACTCCCCCCAAACTACCATGTGTTGAATATAATTTTTTACCAACACACTACAGACTGAAGTAATCACTCTAAATCAGACACAATCATACTAGCATAAGGTTTCATCCATTCTAATAAGATAAATAAATTAATAAACATTATTAATTGGCTTAAATAAACATTTACTTCTAAAATTGATGCAACAACTGGCAATACCACTCCAGATCAATATTCGCCTTCTTAATGTTCACGTATAAGACACGTCCATTCTACAGACCAGTACTTGGTCACGTACACATAATGACTACATTATACAATGGTATATAAGATTAAATACTGTCATACTGCCATCCCCAATATATGTAAATACACTCCTACAGTCTGAGATGGTGAATAAAGTTTGTTACAACTATTTTAACTGTGAGATCCTTTAGATTGTAACAACTGCCACAAAAATGCTTGAAAACGCATCTACTGAGATCAAAGCCAGTCTCCGAGCGGTAACAGCACCCTATGCCAGGGATTTCTTATTTGCTGTGCTTAATGCGGCCCTGGGAACTCGCCTCAATCATGACGCCCTACGCATTCCAGTTGCCCTTTGCCTTTTCGCCCCTATACTCACTGAACACAGGTGCATCTGCGAAAGCTCGATGGCAGACCAAAATGATCATCATGGTCTGGTATGTCGTAAATCATAGGGTAAGATTGCAAGACATGAAGTAGTCAATAACATCATCAAGAGGAGCCTCACAACAGACTGCTGCACAGCACAAAGAGAATCACACCTATTCAGACCCAATGAATATCAGTAGTGCCCAGATGAGGTGACCATGATTCCTTAAAAGGAAGGTAAGCAAGTGGTGTGGGAGTACACATGCACTTTCGCACTGGTCAGTACCTACCTCTAACACAGCACAGACGAAGGGGGGGGGGTAGCGCTGCTTTTTTCTGGGAAACGCAAAAAGCCATCAAGTACAGAGATCTGGCACATTGCTACAGCTTTAATACGGTCGGTTTGCAGACCCCTCTGTTCGTGGGGAAAATGTGCATTGATACTCCTGAAGAAATTGGGCGACAAATTGATCAGTGTTATAAAAGACCAAAGAGTGCAAAACCTCTTGTTCCAACGCTAAAGTGTCGCAATTCAAATGGAAAATGACTGTTGCATCTTAGGTACGAGTCCAACATCAAAGGAATTCGATGAGGGGGTTTCACTTGCAATAATGAACTCATCTCTGTGTCATTTATTAACTTATCCCGTCGGTGAGTCTTTCATTTTACTTCTAATGGTGGTGTTGAGTATTATTGCCACATTTTGTAATCACATAAACATTTAACAAAAAGTTCCCAATATATATAAATATATAAGGTGGTTGAAGCAGAAGACAGTATGTGCCAGGGAACATGGGAACCCGACAAGGCTCCCCCAGGTGATGCATATCCTCTTCTTCACGGATTGTGGGGCCTTAACTCACACCCCAGAAGTGACTTGAACCTATACTGCGAGGAAAACTCTGCAACTGGTGTACAGGACACCTTAACGACTCGATCATCACGACCGGACAAAAAATTATGGTAGCCAAGGCTAATTCCCCATCATCCCGCCGGCACTCTGATGGTAATCTTGGGCATAGTGTTTTATCAAATCACCTCATTCTTTTGCGCAGACGAGAGGAACACAAATGCGTACAAGCCTGAATGGTCTTCAGGCATATATGCAACTGAAAACTCACACCCCAGAAGTGACTTGTACCCATACTGCCAGGAGCACTATGCAATTGGTGTACAGGACACCTTAACCACTCTACCATCACGACCGGACAAAAGATGATGGTAGCCGAGGCTAATTCCCCATCATCCCGCCGGCACTCTGATGGTAATCATGGGCATAGTGTTTTATCAAATCACCTCATTCTTTAGGGCACACGTGAGGAACACAAATGCAAACAATGTATATATATATATATATATATATATATATATATATATATATATATATATATATATATATATATATATATGTCGTACCTAGTAGCCAGAATGCACTTCTCACCCTACTATGCAAGGCCCGATTTGCCTAATAAGCCAAGTTTTCCTGAATAAATATATTTTCTCTAATTTTTTTCTTATGAAATGATAAAGCTACCCATTTCATTATGTATGAGGTCAATTTATTTTTATTGGAGTTAAAATTAACGTAGATATATGACCGAACCTAACCAACCCTACCTAACCTAACCTAACCTATCCTTATAGGTTAGGTTAGGTTAGGTAGCAGAAAAAGTTAGGTTAGGTTAGGTTAGGTAGGTTAGGTAGTCGAAAAACAATTAATTCATGAAAACTTGGCTTATTAGGCAAATTGGGCCTTGCATAGTAGGCTGAGAAGTGCGTTCTGGCTACTAGGTACGACATATATATATATATATATATATATATATATATATATATATATATATATATATATATATATATATATATATATATATATATATATATATATATATATATATATATATACATACATATATATATATATATATATATATATATATATATATATATATATATATATATATATATATATATATATATATATATATATATATATATATATATATATATATATATACATATACATAATATTGCTCAGTGGTTACTATAATACGAGAATAAATTATTTGAGCTAAACAATCATTGCAACTATTAAATTACCTCCGTTAAGCAAACAGTAATACAAATTGTCAGTAAAATTGCTAAGATAATTAAATATAAATATCATTTAAATTTTAACAAACACACAGAGTCAAACAATACAAATGTATTTATTCTAATTGAGAGAGATTTCATACTCTGATGACTCCTGGTTATATACTTATAACTTATCATTATAATTTACAAGTTACTTGGCAAGGTAGACTGTGAGATATATTTGGTTTTATTTAGAGCCATAATTTATAATTAAATTTCCAATGTACAGTATGGAAGCAAAATTAATCCTAATTTCCAAGATATCGAGCACAAGTTCTTACTCCTTGAAAGTAAGAAGGTAAAAAGTTAAATCCAAAGACCCTCAGACATGCATATAAGGCCAAATATTCTGGTTAATAAATATTACCATAATGTTTTGCCAATTGATAATTACAATAAATTGGATAAAAGAAAGCTGAAGGATGTCGAGAGAACAGTACATCAGTAAGATTAGTCGCTTCATCCAAACTTGTTCTCCCTCAACAACTTTAAACTTCATTGATAATAGTGTTATGAACTCCTTTCAGAAAACAAGGTAACAGAGCTAAAAAGTGAAAGTCTCTGTGTTTTCGTATAAAAAGTCTAGAGACACTGGTAATATGCATTAATTATGTGAAGTAGTGTTATTTCTTCCCATTTACCGGCACTCCACATTAGTGAAGAGCGACTTCATGAAGCAAGGAATAACTCATATTTTCCCGTTAAAATGCGAGTCACAGATCTATTTGAGACAAAACAAAATCCATGTTTCATGATAACGCCCGGAGGAGATATGTAGCTGCTGTAATCCCTTAAGATTCGTATCAGTGCTGATATGAACTTTGAGTTATTGACTGGTTAAACATCTCTTCATTTTGGTTTCGACAATGTTGTGTCGTTACAGGTTAGAATGTCTTCATTTGTGTGTGGAACCATAGTGGCGGTGGTGGTTTGTGCTGTACCTTTAGCAAGTCAGCAGGTGGGTGGACCCGAAGATGTGGGTGAATGTGTGCGTCAGGTGGGAGTGATGGTGGGTCAGGTGGTGGAGCAGGTGGGCGTGATGGTGGGCCAGGTGGTGGAGCACCATCTCACCAGGTATCACCTGGTGCTCATCACCACTACACGTCACTCACACATCACCGCAAGTATACTCAGGTAAAGTATTGCTTCGGTATGTATTATATAAATCTTTTAAAAGTGGAAATTTAAAGGTAATAATTTTTTATATATAAATCCCATCTGTACATTGCGTGTTTATATCAAAATATGTGCTGCGTGAAAAATTAAAACTTATATATACACTTTTATGTTTTTTTTAAATATTTATTATGAACTTATTTGCAATAAGTAGAAGTTACACTACTAGCTCATTGTTATGACCCCACATACATCAAGTATGGCTTGTGTATGATGTGATCATACCTTAGTATAGAATAGGCAGTGTAGCCTTGCCAAATGTTTCTTAAAGATATGACTATATGTACATATTATTGAATACTAAGTACTACTATATAACATACTTTATATATTGTTATACACCTTGTATACATTTATATGCCTAATGTATTATGCCAGGAATACGTATGTATTTTGTTATATCTATTTCCTAGCTGAGAAGGGAGAAAAACTATTATCACTTTGCATTTTTCGTACTTAGTACCTGGCATACTTGTTTTGTGAGAACATATACCAATAAGCAGGTTTGGTGCTCGGTTGTATATATTATACTTGTAATAATGTAGGTTTTATATGTTATACTACCATGTCTCGTAGATATGAATTCCTTGTTTGATCTTTGTATATATAAATATAATATCGCTTGTGTATTCACCTAGTTGTATTTGCGGGGGTTGAGCTTTGCTCTTTCGGCCACCCTCTCAATTGTCAGTGTGTGACATAATGCTTTGTTACTTTTTTGGGAAATGTATTGTACCATACTACATTATATGTATGTTTAAGGATTTATTACTTGTAAATGTCATGTTCTGAGATAAAGATATTTGAAAAGAGTAGTAATGGGTTATCTTGCAGAGTTGGATAAAGTGTCTCTCGAGGCTCTCCCGCCTCCTGTGAGCTCACTACTCGGTTGACGATTCCGACGAGAGGTCGCGCTGTGTCGTGCTCTCATTTGTGTGGCTTTTGTAGGGTCTAATGACCTTGTAACATATAATATGTACCTTTATTGATGTGTAACGAATCATTCTACCGATGTGCAACAGTTTGGCAGGTGGTAGGTGATATTATATGTATGATTTATGTGGTGGATTTCTGAGGAAATTAAGCGACTGGATGATATTGCTTCTTCACCCCACTAGTGATATGGGGTGTCTTCATTTTTGACACCACCATTTTGCATATTACATTGATTTGAAGCATGGTAGAACTAGTGTACCACTGCAATAGGATAGATCCTAGTGGCAGCTTGATCAGAGGGTGTGCAGTACAGTGCATGATGATGATTCTTAAAAAAAACGGGTAAAGGTAGTAATGTGAAATAAAATAGTATTATACATTAATACAAGTATAATATATACAACCTAGCACCAAACCTGTCTATTGGTATATGTTCTCACAATATAAGTACGTCAAATACTAGGTACGATCGATCAATGCAAAGTGACAATAGTCTTTCTCCCTTCTCAGCTAGGAAATAGATATATCAAAATACATACGTATTCCTGGCATAATACATTAGGCATATAAATGTGTACAAGGTGTATAACAATATATAAAGTAGTTATATATAGTAGTACATAGAATTCAATAATATGTACGTATAATCATCTCTTTAAGAAACATTTGGCTAGGCTACATTGCCCATTCTATACTAAGGTATAATCACATCATACGTCAGCCATACTTGGTGTACGTCGGGTCATAACATCCATCCATCCCAAGAAATGGGCACACTATGGCACACAGTGTACACATTTTTACTGACAAACAATGTCATGCATCATATATATATATATATATATATATATATATATATATATATATATATATATATATATATATATATATATATATATATATATATATATATAATCAAGTAAGTCATAAGCTGCACACCATTTAGTGCATGCATTAATAATATGACATCAATAAGTGAGTTTAATTTAATACAGGATATATAATGCAGATATAATATACAGATAATGCAGATATATATAATGCATCATCAAGTGTATATGAGCTACAAATATATAGCAAGATAGAAAATAAAATCAGGAAGTTTTATGATGGTCTCTCAAACTCAGGTTTTCTCAGGAAAAATACTTGTATCAGCTATTACATTCAGCTATTACATTACGATCAGCATCAACTATTACATTCGATTTACCAGGAATATGATGGATGTGAAGATTAAATAACTGCAAGAACAACGACCATCTTTAAATCTTCTGATTATTCAATTTCATTCTGTCAATAAATATTAAAGGGTTATGATCAGTATACACGTCTTCTTTATTTCCTTGCAGATAGACTTCGAACTTTTTACATGCCAAAGCAGGAGCACAAGCCTCTTTTTTTCAACAACAAATTAATTCTTCTCTGAACTATTAAATTTTATCGGAAAGTAATATACTAGATGCTATACACCATCAATTCCAACTTGGAGTAGAATAGTACCTGCACCCAAACCAGAAGCTTCTATATACAGTATAAAAGGCTCATCAAACTCAGGATTGGAGACCTGGAGATGAAGACAAGATACTTTTTAAACTATTAAAAGCTTCTTGACACTGGGTACTTCACTTAAACTTACTCTTCTGCTGCAACAAATCAGTCAGAGGTGAAGCTATCATAGAAAAGTTTTTAACAATACCTACGGTAGTAGGCACTCATACCCAAGAAGCGCTGTACCTGTTTATTGTTGGTCAAGATAGGGTAATTAACAATAGCACTAATGTTAAACTGTAAAGGCATCACCCTACCTTAACCAACCTCGTGCCCTAAATAGACATTTAAACCCCTGGCAAAATTATATTTCTGAGGGTTGACAGTAAGATTAGCATTCTTCAGCGTGGCAAACAGCAATTACAAACCCTGTAAATGGTTTTGCCATTAAACATTGAACAAAACAATGTCATTTAGGTTTGCACGACAATTGGAAATATCCTGCAACAGCAAATTTATTAACCTCTGGAAGGTTGCTGGTGCATTCTTATGACCAAAAGGTATGACATTATACTGGTAAGAACCGTCAGGTGTAACAAAAACTGACATTTCACTAGCTCGATCTGTCAAAGGAACTTGTTGATAACCTTTGGACAAATCGAGTTTTGATATAAATTTACAGTGACCAAGCTGGTCAATGCAATCTTCAAGCAATGGTAAGGAGAAAGTATGTACAACACTTAACTTATTCAATCGCTTGTAGTCGTACACAGGCGTCACTTCCCCTCCGGTTTAGGAACTAATAAGCATGGCGAGCACCAGGAACTTTGATTGAATAGATTTCAATGTATTTCACTACGTATGAGTTCATTCTTTTAAATTTGAGTCAAAACTGACGTAAATATATGACCGATCCTAACCTACCCAACCTAACCTAACCTAACCTAACCTAACCTAACCTAACCTAACCTAACCTAACTTAACCTAACCTAACCTAACCTAATCTAGCATAACCTAACCAAAACTAACATAACTATGTCAATAATTTTTTTTGTTAATATCATGTAATAATAATAATTCAAATAAACCAATTGGAAACAATTTGTTGAAAATAAAGAAAATCATTCGGCCTATTAGGCAAATCGGGCCTTGAATAGTAGGCCGAGAAGTGCATTCTGGCTACTAGGTACGACATATATATATATATATATATATATATATATATATATATATATATATATATATATATATATATATATATATATATATATATATATATATATATATATAATCTTTGGACAACACCCACCAGTGGGACTCGAACCCAGAAAGCACAACTACCTTCCAGTAGCTGGCATAACTAGTATGCTTTAACCCACTACGCCATCAGACCTTAAAAAGAAGTAGATAGTTCGAGATATATATATCTCAAACATCTCTACCTCCCGAAGGCACCAGATGAGTGAGGGGTCAGTCTGCATTTTTCGTCAAGCCACTGTCAATGTGAGAGAACTCGTGTCCAGCTTATAAGCCTATACTTGCATAAACCACAAGTGAAGATAAACAATCTTTGGACAACACCCACCAGTGGGACTCGAACCCAGAAAGCACAACTACCTTCCAGTAGCTGGCATAACTAGTATGCTTTAACCCACTACGCCATCAGACCTTAAAAAGAAGTAGATAGTTCGAGATATATATATCTCAAACATCTCTACCTCCCGAAGGCACCAGATGAGTGAGGGGTCAGTCTGCATTTTTCGTCAAGCCACTGTCAATGTGAGAGAACTCGTGTCCAGCTTATAAGCCTATACTTGAATAAACCACAAGTGAAGATAAACAATCTTTGGACAACACCCACCAGTGGGACTCGAACCCAGAAAGCACAACTACCTTCCAGTAGCTGGCATAACTAGTATGCTTTAACCCACTACGCCATCAGACCTTAAAAAGAAGTAGATAGTTCGAGATATATATATCTCAAACATCTCTACCTCCCGAAGGCACCAGATGAGTGAGGGGTCAGTCTGCATTTTTCGTCAAGCCACTGTCAATGTGAGAGAACTCGTGTCCAGCTTATAAGCCTATACTTGCATAAACCACAAGTGAAGATAAACAATCTTTGGACAACACCCACCAGTGGGACTCGAACCCAGAAAGCACAACTACCTTCCAGTAGCTGGCATAACTAGTATGCTTTAACCCACTACGCCATCAGACCTTAAAAAGAAGTAGATAGTTCGAGATATATATATCTCAAACATCTCTACCTCCCGAAGGCACCAGATGAGTGAGGGGTCAGTCTGCATTTTTCGTCAAGCCACTGTCAATGTGAGAGAACTCGCGTCCAGCTTATAAGCCTATACTTGCATAAACCACAAGTGAAGATAAACAATCTTTGGACAACACCCACCAGTGGGACTCGAACCCAGAAAGCACAACTACCTTCCAGTAGCTGGCATAACTAGTATGCTTTAACCCACTACGCCATCAGACCTTAAAAAGAAGTAGATAGTTCGAGATATATATATCTC